GTGCAATAACTTATAAGGATTCAGTGTTCTATCAAAAGAAATTGACCCGTATAATACGTTCTTAAGTTACCCCAATTTATTTTAATTATTTTACAACGGTTTTGATACAAAGAACTTGAAATTAATTATAGCTTTGTTTAGTCGTGTTCCGTCCTGTATATTATGTGATATTTCTGACTGGTTTCCTTAACAATTTGTATATGTAGTATACTTAGATCCGTTTTATAATACATACACAGATGATTAGAAGTGGTGTTTTCTCCCCAGCGGTTTACATGAACACGTAATTTGTTTTGCTGGCAATTTAGGCGTGGTTTAGTTTAAAAGCGTATGCGTCTCCGTCGGGCGGGTAATGGCGCTCTAGGGGACTATTCTTCGGTAGCAAATCTCCACATGGCAAAGCACAAAATGAGTTCGTCGGGTATACAAGTTTTGGCATGCACCACGTACATTATTCAAAGCGTTTTGTATCACAAGGAAGCTTTCGACGTGTGTCATAATGTAAATTCTTTTGTAAATGTATTTCTCCTTTTGTATACTGACTGCTTTCTTTGTTTATTTGTTCTAAGGTTGAATTAGAAAAGGATATTAAGTGACTTCTATTTGTGTTTGAGTGAGCTATATCAAGTATGACTTGATTTTCTCTCAAGTATGTTGTTAATCAAATAAAACAGCTACGATAAAGTCAATCGACCCAGTAAATTGTAGATAAGACTACGTGTAAATGTGAGACATAGCTAGTATTTAAAATAAAGATCTTTTTGCAGTAACCTGGATCTCCATAAATGTATATTATAAGTATTTTTTAAACACATTTACGGATAATGTTTTTAAAACTCTCTCTCTTCCAAAAATATTACTTAATATTAGGTTAATACAGTAATTGCTTAAGACCGTTGTAGGAGACTCGCATCTGAACTAGGGAACTCTGTCACACAGATTACCAGCCCCACCCACACTACAATGTTTGAATTATACTTGTCTAAAGTTTTCAAGATAAGATTTCTAGCTTATAACTCATAAGCTCATAATAATGCAAGGATTTTCTACAACAATATTCTTTGAGCCCATTTTAAGTTTACAGAAATGTTATCATTTCACAAGATCTTGTCAGTGGTCAGTTTTACTGTATTTATCATACCGCAATATAGTTAAATTTTTTACCTTCTCCAAAGGGAGCTTTAACATGAACAAATTCTTAACACTTAAAAAATTAACCGATTCTTCAACGTTGGTAAAAGTGTCTAAACTACCCTAGAGAAGCAATTATAATAATAATATTTTCGGACATCTGACACACAAAGCCATCTAGTTTCAAACTAAGTAGAGCTTGTATTATGAAAGCTCCATTAACAGATAGACTACTTATATACTTTTTTTTTGTATATACATACATATTATACATAGAAAACACAAACTGCGAAACAAATATTTGCAGATCATACAAACATTTGGTCCGACCCGGGAGTCGAACCCGAGAACTTAGCACAGCAGTCGCACACTCTAAGACTGCACCACCGAGGCAATATATTTATTTTGCACATTCCAGTCACTAAATTTAAAAAAAAAAAATCGTAGATTGCACAAGTTGTATTTCAGTCCCAAGCTTAAATCATTTTCAATGTAAACTATCCCAACTTTGAATTCATGGCCATATGATTTAAACCGCTAAACGTTAGAACATGCCACTAAATTTAATTATACGGATCCCAAAGGTTACATAGTTCTCATTCAAGCTGTCACATAAGTATCAACGACAGTTAAAACTTTGAACTAAGTGAGAGAAATATGTAGGCTCTAGTGCTAACGGCAACGAGCAGTCCTATTATCTCGACATTTTCAATTTCCGTTTAAGTGTAATTGAATTTTAAATATGCTTGCGTTTTCTTTCAAGGCAGGGACGACATAATATTCCTTTACTTTTCCCACTTCAGTGAAGATAGCTTTAAGTTATTACTAAAAAGTATCCATAAAATGTTGAGTAAGTCTTCCATATGAAAGAAGAAAAATATTTGGTGATCAAATATTTACGAGTTACTCTCGCGGATAATGACCCTAATTGATAGCTAATAACGTACCAATACAAATTTATTTTTAGAAGCTCATTCTAAACGAGACATCTAGACGTCCACGATTTTTAACTGATGTTCTGTAGTAGCATGGTTAAAAAAGAGTTATCGAAACAAAATATTATACGATTTTTTTTCTTACTCAATCAATAGATTAAGAAGTTAAGTTAACTTTATAGTGTATGTTGAATATATTTACTTTTTTATGGATAGATGGACCAAGTTTGTTTCAGTTGCTTTTGTTTGAATAGTGATTTACCCGGTGTATAGCCCTTTAGGAAAAATATTTTTCCACAAATTTTACTGCCCAAAAAAACTTATCGCGTTTCATTTCCCAAATGAATCTTTAGCACACACTACTCTTTACACTTATTTTATTCGCATTGAATGTGTTTTTGCCAAATGCAAATTTGGGTAAAAGAGTTTGCGATGTGATATTTTTTGAAATTTTGTAATTAGATTTAATCAACAGTATTCTTAGGTACAATTTAAGAAAATATGTTCGATCATTCAGAAACCATAAGGTCTTTTCTAAACTAAGTTCTTTTCGAGTGGAGGGTGTCTCAAATTACAAATTTAAAGTCGTTTGTTAACATCTAATCCAAGATAATTGTTACACACAAACACAAACCAACCCATAAACATATAGTACATAGTACGCAGTGTTTTGTGTGCATGTAGTTTTAATGAGCAATTTGTATTAAGAACGTCCAAATATTTATTTCATTCGCAGGAAACCCAATTGGTAGCGAGAAGTTTGAAAATTTAAGACCCATTATGCCCTATGAATCGGTCTGTTAAGATGTTATCATAGCCATATTTTATGAAAGATCAGGGACAAGACGAACTTTAGTTCGGTCAAATACGTAATGAAAAAATATCACTTAGTCTTTAGCTACAACTTTTTTATATACTACTATTTTCTGGAAATGAAAACCTTTCGTTATATGTTTAAACTGTTTGTTGGCTAGTTTATAGTAACTCAAATGTCGCAGACATTCTAATATCCATAGATGTGTAGTTTGGACGTTTTGAAGTAGTATTAATTTTACTAATTACTTGGGATACACAACTGTCTACTAAATGTCTTCTGGGAAATATGTACAATTTAAGTACGTACCTGTTGAGATGATGATGAAATATTAGTGGTACTTTTGATTTGAGGTTTTTATAGCCACTTTTACTTTTGAGTTATTTAAGACAGGTGGATGTTTGCAATTGCAAATCTAAGGTCAACAATCAAATACGATTCAGCTGTACTGTTATAGGTCGCTTTAAAAAACATAATTATACTGGGACAGGTTCAATTCACTGTAAAAAGTTATTGGATAGGTTTCAGCTTTCTTAATTTTAAGAGTTAATTATTATTATTATAATGCTTAAAAAGTATGACTAGGTGAAAGAGTTATTTTAAAAATATTTATCCATTAGCATAATACTTAATCCGCAAGGGAAAATAACTAAGATGTTCCGATTTTATTAAATCAGCTTAAGCATAACCTCTGAGCTTGTGTAAAGCGGATCGCTAATTATTGTAATAGGTTAAGAAGGTACACGAACATTGACGTTGTGGGCCATCATTACATCATTTTGTACGCCATCATTACACCACTTTGTACGTCAATCGTGAAACTCTAAGAGACGTCTAAGTGAAGACTCTAAGAGGAAACTTAACTTTAAATATTGTAACAAGAGCTTCGCTTTGGTGCCGCACTAATAGGGTAAATTTAAAATTCAAGATACTCTTTTTCTTTATTGAATTTTTTGATTATCAAATCTGGAGGAAACCTTTTCTTTTTAAATGTTTATTCCTTTTCTTTCAATATAATCTTTTATTACTTTTACACACTAGACTGGTTACTTAATGGTTATTAATAACAAAGTTACTCACGACATCCTGGTCATAACATGTTCACCGATGAACTTAATCCTAACTTAAAGAGGTCTATGTATCTTAGGTAAATCATACATATATGTAAATATCTTATATATTTCCATACATTTTCTGTATTAATTATTTATTTACACTAAGACACATACACACACACTAAGACTAACATACTTATTACATTTAAATAATTGTTTATCGGCGAATAGCAAATGGTTTGCCAAGTGGCGATTCAACTCCTAATCATCATGTGATTCGGTAATTATAGTCACCATAAGGATCAGTCACAATAGGGAGGTCCTACTAAATATACGGTCTTGTAAAAGCCGACAGTAATATAAAGACATAAAGAAGATGGTTACAGTTGTTGCCGCTAAATCTTTTGTTGGGTTAAGTAAACAATGTTTGAAGCAGGAATATTGTATCTTATGTTTTACAAATTTGCGCCGCCATTGTTCATTGTGATAGAGCTTACTATATGCTTTTATGCCTTTAGACTATCAATTAGACTGCATTATGCAAATGATCCAATGCATAACCAAGCCAATCTTAACATATAATTTCATTATTATCAATCATTAACAGCCCCTACAGCCTAACAAATATTAGGACTTGAGACGCCTTCATGTTAACATTGAAGTACTTAAGACTAGTAAAATATTTATGTATTTTTATGGTAACATTGAAATAAACGTGATTAAAAAAAACGTTATTATTAAATTGACCAGTTTGTGGAGAGAATCGTTTCTGCACAATACCTTTCGTTTTTGTTCACAAAATCTTATACCTGTGCAGAATGTTTTATTTATCGAAGTTTCGGTAGGAAAAAGTTGAGATAAGAATTACTCAACGTTAGACCCTTCACCGGACTCTGACAAGTAGAAGTACCATTTTAATAAATTAATTTGCCCATGTAGTGTGATTAAGTAGTACATGGATCTCTGAATGAATTGTTTAATTATTTGTTGACAGGCCTTTGTAGCGTGATGGCGGGGTTGAGGTGAGGGCGCGCGGCGGGCGGGGTGCCCCGCCTGCGTCCGCCCATGGCCCCTATCCTTAAACTCAGGTAAAAAAATGAAACTATTTGATTTACTTACAAAGTCTTTAGGCACAAGTACGTACTCAAAAAAGATGTCAAGGATTATGTTGGTTTTACAGTTAATTTCTCAGCATTACAGGTTGGAACAAAATGTAATACTGATTGAAAAAGAGATATAGTTTTTCATTTATTATACGGGAATAAAACCGCGTCATCATCATCATTATGAATAGCTTCTAATAGTCCACTGCTGGACACAGGCCTCTCCTTAGAAAGGAGGTTTTGGCCTACAAACCCTATACCAACTCGTCTGGCGAGCAAGGTATTGCTGGCCAGACGAGTTGGTATAGGGTTTGTTTGAGGTTTTTCTTCTCTTTACAATACTGTTGTTGTGGTGACACTCTTCATTCTTAATCCCTTACCACACAGAACCGTAAAATAAAAACGAGTATTAAGTAATAAATAAGAGATAAATATTTAATAAAATGTTTATATCAAACCATTTCCATCTTAGTTTCTACGCAGAAAAACCAACACACGTAAAATAGGTACTTATAATATGTATTGACAAAAAAGGTTTTTAGACACAGTTTTTGTTCTACTTTAATATGTAAGCAGTTAAAAATTCATATATAAGTATTCATAAAAAAATGTACTAGAAAATTGTACTAGAATCAATAGTTGGTAAAGAAAAGTCGACGGGCCTGTTGGTATGGTGGTTAGAGACCCTGACTGCTAAGCCGGAGGTTGTGGGTTTGATTCCCACCTAGGTCAATTATTGTGTGATTATTTATTCATATATATCACGGTTATTTATTCGGTGTCTGGGTATAATTTATCTATGATATGTATGTATTTAAAAATATACAACTACATATGTTTATCAGCAGCCTGGTTAACATAGCACAGGCTCTGCCTAGTTTGAGATCAGATGGCCGTGTGTGAGATGTGTGAGGTTTTTTATTATTAAGTATGACAAGATTACTGAGAAAATATTTAATGCAATATCAAATTGAAAGGAATATTATCCAAAGTAGCATAGTGATGGTAAAAAGTGGATGGTATTAGGGCCACCGTAGGACTAAGGGTGAGAAGTAATATGATACACAGTACAATTTATAGGCTTCTACATTCCTTACAGTAAACACTAAAAACTAACGATGCTATCAGCATGTAAGGAAATAGTCATCTCGGTGACCATAGCCTGTTGATATCTACGTTTAAGAGATCATAAGACCAGTCATTTGACACAATCTACACCGTCAGTGCGAGGTCTATTTACATTCATTTCGACTTTAAGCGAGTAGGTCTGACATTATCTGCATCATTGAAATCAGATTCTTTTGGTGCATCCAGTCTATGGGTACTTGTTTTCACGCATTTTTCTATCTAGAACGTATTCGTTCATTCACAGATTAACGTCGCATTAAAGGCTTTTATTACGAAACTGTCACCATATTGAACTGCTGAAACGGTAACTAAGAATTTAAATTTCTGTTGCAACATGGTTTGATTCCTCTCTTCATTCTTTATGAACACAAAAACGCAAAAATCTAAATCTATAACTTACATATCTGGACCTTTCCCCCTTCAGGTATGTACTTAATACCTATCGTAAATTTTCGTAGGTAAAAATTAATTATACGTGGGGCATACTGAATTGAGTCACTAAATTCGCAAATGGAACTCTTTGGGAACTTGTTACTTTTTAATTTGCGAGACTGTCATTTGTTTTTTCATTGTGATGTCCTTTCGAAAATTGTCAACAAGTCAACAAGAGAGTTGCCAGAGACTTCACTTGGCATTTGGTGATGAAGCACCATGTCGCAGCTCTGTGTTTTCGTGAGAATCTAGACATGGACGTGATCATCTTCATGACGATGTACGTGAAGGTCGGCCGGTGACTGCGGTTACAGACTCTAATATTGACTCCGTACGACAACTTATTGAAACTGACAAAAAAATTACTTGCCAGCAAAATAGTGCTTTGTTAGGCAGTGGAATGAGCCAAGTGCAAAACTTTTTACATGTGTATCATGGGTGTGAATGTTTGGAAGCTTTGCACTCCAAAGATACCGCATGACTTAACTTTCACAGAAATTTAAGAATGGTCCAACAGTGGTTTCAGCAAACGTAAAAATGCATTTCAGCAAACGTAAAATGAATATACTTTGAAAAACAATAAATGTATCGTAAGGCTTATATCTTAGTATTATTTATCAGAATCCAGAAACTTTCAGTATGCGCTAAGGATGTTATTTTACGCCGCTTTCTTACCGTGGGAGAAACATGCCTGGCATGGCACAAATGAACCGGCTCGACCGAAGTGATTCCATAGCCTCACAGAAAACCCGTGTTAAGGAGTATTTTCTTTGCTTTTTCCGACTGAGTGAGCTTTCCGGAGCCTTTTTAAAAATGAAAAAGGCTATGGTTTATAGTTCCTCGTCCAATTTCAACTTCGAGGACAGCAACTAGGATAAATAATAATTATTTAGATAGTTTTTTTTAAGTTACACACAAATACACACACTTCTTTATTCAAATGTGTAGGCAAAAGTGTATTAAACGCTCACATATGCAGACAATAATTTCAGTCCCTTATTTGCGTCAACGGGACCCAAATACTTCTAAAGAAACAACACTTGTAGATATGTTTTATATATGTATTATATATAAATACACCAGTCAATCAATCAACATACACCGGCCAATCCAGTTGAATACAACGAATAAACTTACAGAAAAAACAAGTTAGACTTTCTAAAAACTGTGCTTACATCAATATCAAGTGCAAAAGTACACGTCTTGATAATATCACAAAACAATCAGTTTACAGAAGTCAAGCTACATACTACGCGCGCTTCACTATTTTTGTATTAATTACACATTTTAATTAGAAATTATAATAATGGTTTGTTTTATCCGCACTGGAAGAAACTCGAATGTTTTTATACAACTAGGGTAGTCTATTTCCCCGTTATACAGAAGCTGTTTGTTGACTATCTCCCTTTGAGTCCGTCGCCAATTCGTTTCAAAATTGTTTTCATTCGATTAAAATTTACGAACAAACTTCTATATTATAAAAATAGCAACTGCCACTGTTTGTTGTTTATGTATACTGTTATTTTACTGTGACGACTTCCAACCATCATCTTTAAACCGTTTTCGTTGTTTTACTTCAAATTATTTGTCAGCACATGTTCATGTAAATACATATTTTTCGCAGGAACGTTTATTGTGTTGCTCATTGTGAATTGTAGGGTTTATTTAAGAATGCTGTCAATTGATTTGGCAAATCATGGGTTTGATGTCTAGGCAGATATTTGCATATGGTGGCAAAACTCATTTTGTCAATCGTTCCATTCAGATCAATTAAGTTTTCGTTAAGATCAAATTCAGTTTGTTTTAAAACCTTTAAACTTATAAACTTAGAAGTATTGAAACTCATAACGTGAACTCAAAATATCTGTTTTTCTAAAAATATTAAAATTGTTTGCAATCGTCTTTTATTTAGACTCTTAAGTCGTAGATCAATACACACACAATAGCAACAATCTCTGTTTTGTCAAATAGTTAGCAAAATAAATTTAATAAAAATGATACTAATACAATATCTATGATATGCCTGTGCCGATCTACAACCGCCTGTTTCCAAGGGGTTGAACCTTATGAGAAGACAGGGCAAACAAACTCATGGCCACTCTTTTGCAATTTATAGATAGATTAAATAAATATACCACAACATTGGGTTGATGTTGGCCAGTATGTCCGCTATTAAGAACTAAAAGGTAAATAGACAATAAAGAGAAAAATAAGATCAAATAAAAGAGAAAGTGAAGTGAAACATAAAAAATATAAAAAATAAAGTTTGGGATCAGACTGCCGTGTGAGATGTGTAAAGTTATTATTATATTATATTACATTATTGTTATATAGTGACATGCCACAGTCATTATGTTTAATTATTTAAATTTCTGACTCAATGAAAAACCATTGCCTAAATTATAAAGTGCTTGAATCGCTTTTTTTTTGTAGTTCAGAATATTATAAAGAAAACGGCTAAATTAAAATGAATTCAACTTGGACCTCGAATACCTTTTGCCCGATTTAATTCATAAACAAATAACAGCAGACCTTTTGTGTAGAACATTCAATTTTCATCAGTTATAAAAATCAGAAGATTTTTTTTTCCTGTGTTATTTTTATAGGAAATCGAAAAATGCGATGCGAATAACCTTAATATTAATATTAAGGGCATGCAGAAGCCTATTTTGGTATCTAAACGAAACTTTTCAGCGTGGTTCCGAGATTTTTTTTTTTGAAACGTCTTGATGTTTACATATATGTATATAGGAAGTCAATAAGATCTGTAGAAATGCATAACGCCAACGTATCCAGCCGATCAACGAAAACAGAGATCTCACGAAAGTGAAAATAATCTTAAAATACTGGGATTGGGAAAATCATGCTAAAACATTTCTCTACATCGTCTGACTTTAATGATTCCAAGAAAGCTAATACTCTTAGACAAATTTCTTTTACAACCGCCTCAGTTGTCCGTTTGTGATGTTAAGACCATTCTACCAAATTCGTTTAATGCAATGGGAAGTGACTGTATTAGTTAAAATAGGATTGTCCCTATTCTTGATGAAATCCTACCTATCCTGTGCAATATTTGAAATTAGTAATTTGTAATATGTTCAGTACTTGACCAGTACTGCATTTCCATCTGCAACTTTCAATCGAGTAATTTTTTATTAAACCTTTGCCATCTGCCAGTCACCAGGTCACAGTATGTCGTCTACACCTGTTCGCAGTACAGAGCCTATCAGTCTAGATATTGAAAGCGGAAACATTACAGCAAAACGCCGCCATTTCATTCAAAATATAGAAACCTCTTCAATTTCCAGTGTGTGGAAGTTCCTTGAACCACTAGGCATTAGCAAGCAAGAACACCCTGAGTTTAAGATGACAATTGGTCTAGATGATTTAAACCGTCATTTCTCAACTACACCTCAGTTGGACCA